GAGTCCTGGGATTACAGGCTTGTGCCACCACGCCCAGCTAGAACTAGACATTTTTTTAAGTATCAAAAAATAATATCTTCTCTACATGCTGTTTTGGGTGAATTGTGAAACAGTCCTGACAAGATAAAGCTTATTGGGTAATATAAGTGATGACTGGGGGTGTGGCTCAGTGGTAGAGCAGGCCCCTCTCTTGCACTGCAAAAGAAAAGAAAAGAAAGGAAACAAAAAAAAGAGAGAAAATGTTAGTGAATACCATAGTGGTGTTCAGACAGTACACATAAAATACTGGGGCATAGTGGCACATGCCTGTAATCCCAGTACTCAAGTTCAAGGCTAACTTTAACTACCTTTAGAGACCCTGTCTCAAACAAACAAACAAACAAACAAACAAACAAAAAAACCACTTTAATAAAGGGTAGCATTGAAAGAGGCTTGTGGGGTTGAGTACGTGTTATGGTTTGTGTCTAGATGTCTCCCCAAGCCTCAGGTGGTCATAGGCTATTTTGGAGGTGGCTGAATCTACAGTGTGTAATTTCTTTGTGGTGGGGCTAGACCCTTGGGCTCTAGGGTTAAGGGCTTGAGTGCTACTCACCCTAAGGAGTCTGAATAAGATAAAAGGGGCAGAAAGACACTGGTACGGTCCACTGTTCCTTTTGCTGTCTTGTACTGCCATGGACTGTTGCCCTTCTGCCACCCTGCCTCAGAGCCAGCTGATTAGGGACTGAAACCTCTATGAACTGTGAGCCAAACAAACCTTTCCCCCTTAACTTTGGGTGTTGGGTATTTTGTCTCAGCAATGAGAGAAAAGTAACTAACACAATATGTAACCCTCTTTTAATACATTATACATAGTTTTCTAAATGTTTAATTGTGTAAGATTGTCACACGGTGCATCACCGTAGAGCTATTTTTTATAGTATTGTCACTTATTTCCACTTAATATCAATTGCCACTTCTTTTAAGTTCTCCTCATGAATGCTATGTTAGTTCATCAAGAGAGTGAGATATTATAATTAACCATGGACTGAAAGTGTACAGGTTTCATGTAATGTCTCACATTTCATAGGGTTTTGTATTAACGTTTTAGAATTATCGAGCCTTAAGACTGATGACAGTAATAACATTTCCAAGCCCTGCATGTATGGTCTGATTATTGGAGCGCACAGTGACTGAGTTAATGCTTAACAGTGGCTATTCTGCTGATTCAGTTAGGAAGCTGGGAGATGGCAATTTTATTCTTTTTTACTGGACTGATATTATTGCACAATTAATTAAGACCTGCTTAAAAATAGCCTTCAGAATAGGGCCAAGAGAGGATAAGCCTTTAAAACAATGGAAATGTAGTGAATTTATTGTCAGGGATGCCATAGCTACTTTTATCCAGGTTGGATGAAGAGTTGATTTTGCTTTCAGAGGAGAACACTACTAGTAAGAAATGATTCGTTTTCTTGATTGTTCTCTGGAGAATAGGAGCAACGAAAGAACTGACCTTGTGTGGTAAGTTCAAATGCAATTCAGTTTTTCACATTTTTATTTTTTTTTAATGTGTTACTGGGCATTGAACCCAGGGCCTTGCACTATTAAGCGTGTGCTCTACCACTGAGTTGTATCCTTGACCCCAGAATAACACTTTTTAAAGAAAAGATGGGGTCTGATTAGTACCCAGGCTGGCTTTGAATTTCTGGGCTTGTGATCTCTTGTCCCAGCCTCGCAATTAGCTGGAGGAAATACAGGTGTAATCTACTGTATCTGGCCTCACAATTTCCTTTAATTATACCCAGAGAAAGTGAGACATACATTATATGTGTACATTTTAAAGAATAATTATAAAGTGGTTACTCAGTCGACCACTGTCCTGAACATGAAAAATGACCAGTGTTATGAAAGCCCCACCTCTGCCATGCACTTTTCCCAGCAACTCCTTCTAGTAGCTCTTGTCTTAACATTTGTCATTTTCTCCCTTCTCTTTATAATGTAAGCATTACATTATCTGAAAATGGTATAATTTAAGTGTGCCCTTTTGGGGGGGTTACTGGGGATTGAACTAGGACCTTGCATTTGCGAAGCAGGTGCTGTGCCACTGAGCTAAATCCCCGGCCCAAGTGTGCCTATTTTTGAAGTTATAGGAATCGATTTGTAATGTTATGTGCTTTGTGCCTGCAGTTTTTCGTTCAGCATTCTGTTTGTAAGATTTTTATCCATGTTACTGTTACCCAGTGCATTTAAAAAAGCCTTTTCTGTGTGTGTAGTATTCGCCCCCCCCCTTTTTTTAACTTTTGACCCCTGTAACTCAAAATGCTTTTGGACATTTTTACTTTACCTTCTCAGACTTTCTGCTAAATGAGGTCCGAACAGCAAAACTTGTCTGGAGCCTAGTTTTCTGAACTGATATGTGTGTTGGTGGCATTTGTTTAGATGAGGCTACATCTTTAAGGCTTCTGTGCTCGGTTAAAAATCTTCCTTTTTCCAAGGCTGGTCCAAGGGTCTGGTCACGTGATCCCAACAGTGACATCACACTCTGACCGCCAGGGAGCACTGGTGACTCTTTAGGTGGCGTTTGTTGCTGTGAAAAGCGGACAACGCAGCAAGTGCCCTTCTAAAGTGCCCCAGAGCGGAGCTCCGTCTGTTAAAGCGCCTCAACCTAAATGACCAAATGTGGGCTGTCAAGGTTATTTCTTCTTTGAGACAGAAAAAAAGGAAACTGTGACTGAAGGTAAGCAGGCTTGACTCAGGACTGAAGCGTGTCCCCGGGAGGAGGAGATCTGGAGAATCGCAATCAATCTGTAGTAGGATTCTAATCACTGCCTGCCCTTTTCAGAGGCCTGACAATTGCGTCTCTAACAGGAGACGGATGACAAAGGAGGAGGATGCGGTGCTCATGTTACCTAGTGATGTAATAGGATTCTTTCTCTCCTGCCAGGACGCTGTTGCAGATCTTCATTTTACCTTAAGATCCTAAAAGCTGGGGGCCTCATTTGAAATATAGTGTAACATTAGATAGCTACTGGATGCTTTTTAAAATGGGCTTCTCAAAATTCGTTTTTTTTTTTCTTCCTGAAAAGAAAACTCTTAAACCAGTGTAAATTCAAAGGAAGCATTAACCTGCCTGATAGCAACAACAACAACAAAAAAACATTTTCTGGTTGTTTGGTGTCCTGTGTTCATCTCAGCACTAGACTTGAGAATTGAAACAGCTTGGTCCCCCACCCCTATATTTATTCTCTTTCTCCTTTTGCCCTTATATCCTAACTGGATTCCCCCTCCAAGCTCTCAACATACCAGCTTTCATCTTTATCAGTGTGACACTGACAAGATAGGAAATGCTGGGTTGGTGATTCAGCAGCCATCCATTTTATAGCCAGGTACGAGTGAAGATATGGGAAGGACTTTGGTTTGGGGTTTTAAGATTAACTTGTTCATCTCTTGCATGCCTTTCTCCCTGTCCCACCCCCCACCCTCCAGATGATTTGGACTCTGCTGAGCTTTTCCTGTCAAATGTGTACATTGCTTGTAAAAGGTATGCTGAATTAGGTATTTGAAAGATTTATAATTGGCAAACCATACACAGCTTGATGTGTTCATTCAAACTTACCCATGGGAGTGCTGAAGTTGTCTGGTAGGAGTTTCTAGCAGAAGTAGCAGGAGAAGTAGTCAAGCTGAGGCCTACTTGGGCCTTCTCTGCAGAGGAGTTCATTACCAAATATCTGGACAAGGCCTTGTCCCTGCCAAGGTTGGTCTGCAAGTGTGAGCTTTAGCTATGAGCGTATTACTTTGCACCCCCTCATGTTTATTTGTATAAATTCCTCAATACTGTTTTACATTTTATGTTTAATAGCAATATTGTTCTAGCAGATGATGTTCCCCAAATATTTTGAGTGAGTCTAAGTAATACTAACCATGTGTGAGGTACAATTACTTGGTTTAAATACTTCTCCCTCATTCCTTCTGTTCATCAGATGCATTTTGGTTCAGCCGGTATTTACTCAGTATCAAGTATGTATTAAGACTCTGGGGAGAAGGCAGTGACAAATCAGATATAGGACTACCAGCAAAGAGCTTCTAGTCTAGAAAGGAAGAAAAGCTATATGCATAATTGTAAAGGAAGTGCCAAAAAGAAACAGATAGTAGGCGGGCACATGGATGTGTTTCTTCTAGTCGAAGGATCAGAGAAAGACATAACATCATTGAACCATGCACTGTTCTCTAAATCTCCATGCAGATTGCAGACTGTTTGATATACAGTAGACCCTTGATTTATGGATCCCCAGGGCCAGTGTTAACTAAGTCAACACAACTGAGATTTGGATGTTTACCTGGGTACATGTTATAGAAAACAAGCAGATGAATCTTCTATTAACCTAATTAACTCAAGTTGTTCATATGTCAGGCCAATCATAACTTGAGGGTCCACTGTACATGGAAAATCTCTACAAGGCTATTATGTCAGGAATCAACATATTCTACCTACTGAATGGAAATTTGTACATTTCAGCTAGCTTAACTTTGGAAAAGGCCAAGATGCTTCCTTTGGAGTTCCTAGTCAGGCAAAAGCTACTTCATAGGATTGGATTACTGCCCTATTAGTGTAAAATGATTTCTGACGTGATAAGCGTATAATAACCTTTGACTCTTTTGTCTTCCTCTCCTAAAGCAATACCTGAGGTACTCCAAGCTCCTTTCTGTCTCTTCTTCCATAAACTGTTTCCTTTTGCACATTGGCTTGCATCATTTCTCTTTGTACTCTTCCCTCTATCTGTTCCTTTCCATTCTCACTGCCTTTAGCTACTCATTAGTGACTCATTTGTTTGCGCCTTTAACACAGAAACCTCTCAATGCAATGGACACCCCCACTGGGTGCGGGTGATCGTGTACTTTTAAGTACAACCTAACTGTGGTCATCTGATAATTTATGGGCTTATCTGTTGGAGCTTAGAAAGGAGATAGTATTAAAAATGCTGAGTGTCAGAAGTACTAATGTCTATTTTTCCTGTTTAATGCAGGGGACAAGTCCTATAATGGTGGTGGAATAGCTTCTTCAAATAGGATCATGGACTTCTTGGAGGAGCCGATTCCTGGTGTAGGGACCTATGATGATTTCAACACAATTGATTGGGTGAGAGAGAAGTCTCGAGACCGGGATAGGCACCGGGAGGTAAGAGAAAAGATAGCACAGTAGTAAGTGTTAAGAAATACCAGGGGAAGAAGTTATTCTTTCTGGTCTTGGCTTTCTTGAGCTGAGGATGTGGCTGAATCTGGTTTCCATAGGGAAGGGAAGGTTTGATTTTTGAAACTTATTTTTTGACATCTTGTATATGATTTTAATCCAGTATTTAAAAAATTGTATATCATGATAATTTGTTTTCCCATAGTATGTGGTTGAAAAGGATTCTTTTTTTTTGTTTGTTTGTGTTTTTTTTTTTTTTTTTTTGGTACCAGGGATTGAACTCAGGTCTTTGTGCTTGCTAGGCAGCCCACCAAACTGCTGAGCTAAATCCCTGGCCCTTGGAAAGGTTTCTTAACAGCCCTAGAATAAGTATAAATTCCTTTGTGGGGTTGAAAGTAGTGTTGGAGGAGGGTGGCAAAATAATTGTCAAATAATCTTCCTCCCTCATCCTGTCTTCCTTTTACAGTTTTTCCCTTGAAACAAGATTTTTTTATTTTTGTTTGTTTACTTATTTTTTGTGGTACCAGGGATTGAACGCAGGACCTTGAGCTTGCGAGGCAGGTGCAGTGCCACGGAACCAAATCCCTGGCTCGAGATTTTTTAAACTAAGAAAAGTAAATGGGCTTTGTTTAAAAGAATAAAATACAAAATTTCTCACAGCCCTGGCATTTACTCCTTATGGTTGTATCTCATGTACAACCATAAAACCCAATAAATTTATGCATTCAACTCCAATAAAACTGCAATACCAATCAAATTCAGATTAAGGACATTAATTAATAGGTAATCGATGGTACTCAGGGCTTTGGCACAGGGTTTTTGTATTTGGTAAGAGAATTTCCCACTTCTCTTTTCAGAGTCCCTTGGAAACTTCTCTGAGTGCTCTAACAGGGTTGTCTTCACCTTGTTGCTTTGTACTATTTAAACTGGGGACTCACAATGTCTTTTCTTTGTTGTTGTTTTTTGTATGGGGGATCAAACCCAGGACCTTGCACTTGCAAGGCAGGTGCGGTGCCGCTGAGCTAAATCCCCAGCCTTGCAATCACGATTTCTAGTTTGCTTAAGCGCCATAGTGGAGAGCTATTAAGAAGGCAGTTGCATTAGAGTCATTCATAGGAAAATGGATGCATATTGAGGCCATACTCTTAAGTGAAATAAATAAGTCGCACATATGTAAATACCAAATAGTTTCTTTGGTGTGAAAAACTAAAAGTGTAAATAAGAGGCAAATGGTATAATTGACAATGTGAAATAGAAAGAAATGGGCTAAAGGTGTAGGGGAAGTGAGAAGGGTAGGGGAAAGGGAATAAGGGAAAATAAAAAATATGAGAAAATGAAAAAATGGAAATAAAATGTTTGTAAATGGGGAAGGGAGGAGGGGGTGAAGGGAGGGCAGGGACAAGGGAAAAAATGAGAACCAGGACCTGTCATGTAAAGGTACAAGATCCATCCCAATGATGACTGTAGCTGTACTGTGTACCTAAAATGTACCAATAAACTCAATGAGGAAAAAAAATGACGAAGGCAGTTGCCCAGTCCCAGCCCAGAGATTCTCAGTAGGTGATCCTCCAGCAAGTCTTTTCTTCAGGCCACTGTAGCAATAATGTTTTCTTTCTCTCTTACTATTGCTGCTTGCCCTACAAATTTAAAATTTGATTGTTAAGATGACTCCATTCTCTCTGAGTTCATGATTCCCTCCTTTTAAAACCAAGTAAATTTCCTGAGCATTTAAGTGAAATTCGCTTTTCTTGCTCGTTTTTTTTTTTTTTTTTTTTGAGGTCTGGGCATGGAACCCAGGTCCTTGCACATGTTGTGTAAGCACTCTATTACTGACCTACACCTCTAGCCCTTGCTTTTCATTCTTAAGCCTTTCCCAGATCCTGACTGGTTTTCTTAAAAGCACCTAAACCTAAGAGTCAGGTTGTCCTGGGTTCAGTTTTTGAGAAATTTCTACTTAATCCTTGGAACTGTGGTAATTGCATTGAGTTTACTTATGACTACACAAAAGGATGTTCTCTCTATAAGGCATTTTATGTTTTTCATGAGATTTCTGTAGTACACATAACATATGTACTCCATCAATAGGCAGGCTTTAGAATTAAGACTCTTCTGGCTTTAGAATTTCTGCTTTCAGAGTTCAATCTGTCATCCATTACATATTCAACATGCTATTCAAATTATGAGAGTCACCTGTGATATGCAGGCGCCATTTTTCATTAATGGTTGCATCTGAGATAAATGATGCCAATTACTAGTCCAAAACCAATTAAAATATGTTCATCATATGGTCCACAGAGACTTTTTTTAAGCATCAACTGTTCATTATCAGAAAAAAATAATGTCATGGGGACAAATGTAACCTCATCTGTTTTCATCACTCAAATTGAAAAGTTATAGGTCAGAATGCATTTTAAAAGTCCTTTTGAATTTTTCATAATTTACTACCTATTTAAGATATCGAGAGGAACATGGGGCAACTTCAACTATTTCAAGGGTAAATAGTACAGAGAAGGGGGAGTATCAGTTGCACAACTGGCAGAATGTTGGTGTTAAATGCTGGCGCTGAAGGGTTAAATCAACAAGGGTCAGACCTAAAAAGTCAAAACTTCCTTTACCTCTGATAGGCTCAGACACTGCCTTGCAGATTTATGGAAATGAAAGAAAAGCGTTACTGGTAACACTTAGTATCTGTAACCCATGTATACAATTAGGGGTTTATGGGCTCAAGTTTTGAGATTTGTCTGACTTGAGCCACAGCCATAGGAAGTAAATCTTAAATTATACTTTCACTACTCACATAAGCCTGTGTCTGCTTATTCTTTGCAAGACAATCAAAATAGTTTCTGGGATTATATCCTAGAGGGCACGAAGAGACCCCTACAGTGAACAAAGCAGGTTGATGATTATAAGAAATTAACAACTAAGTAAGGAAATCCTAAATAAGGTACTTGGGAGCATGACAAACTGTAGATAAGGCACGTACAAACCACAGCCTGCAGGCCACTTGCTCTCTTTTTTTTTAATGTTATAATGACAGATACAAAAGGAAATATGTATATACATGCACCATACTTCTATTCTATATGTGTCCCTCTGCACTCACTGTGACCCACTGAGGCCAGGTATGGATTACACATGCCTGCTGCATATGGAGGTAGAGTTCAGTAAGCCTCAGAGCTCCTGGTGAATTTGGTTGAGCTAAAGATTGTGTAAGAAGTAACTTTCAATTGGTCTCTGTTTCCATGTGATTTGTCATTGTATTTTTTTTTTTTGAGACATAGTCTCATTACATAGCTCAGGTTGGTTGGCGTCAAATTCCCAGTGATCCTCTTGGGCTTTTTTTGGCGGGGGGTATAGGAATTGAATTTGGGTCCTTGTGCTTGCTAGGCAGGCAGGTGGCGGCACCACTGAGCTAAATCCCCGGCCCTCCCAGTGATCCTCTTGCCTCAGCCTCCCAAGTGCTGGGATTATAGGTGTGTGCCACCCTGTCCAGTTGTCATTTTATTTTTTTTGTCATTGTGTTGTTTACTGAGCAATGTTGAGGTAAAGGAAGGGTATATGGAAAGTGTACTGATATATATTTTTTTCACTTCCCTCTAGATTACCAATAAAAGCAAAGAGTCGACATGGGCCTTAATTAACAGTGTGAGTGATGCTTTTTCCGGCTGGCTGTTGATGCTCTTTATTGGCCTTTTATCAGGTATAGTAAACTATGTTCGTTTTCACAACAAATCTCCAGAAATTGTGCCATGCACCTCTCTTAAATCATGGACTAGGTGGAGTGCTGTTTTCCAACCTGAAATGAATTGCTGGTGAGCTTTTTGGATGCTGAATGTCCCATCTGTAAAGGAGTAGTAATGCTTGCAAATCACCTCCCTGAAATAAATGAGGAAATGCATGTGAACACCTTTTGTGTGCTATATGGTACTGTGTCCGTTGTAACGGATATTAGCCATGCACGACAGCACTTGTGTTTAGGAAGAACCTGTCTTTTGGAGATAGTCAGGATTTTTATACACATTCTAAATGGGGTCTAGGAGAGAAGGTGCAGAAAAGCACTTCCTGAGACATTCTGTGGCTGTCTCTTAGCATTTTGTCTACTCTCCTATTTGATGGTATAGACAGGCATGTAAGTTACATCCACGCTCACAACTGAACTTACGATTGCATTCTTCCATGATGGCTGAGGGTGGGATGGTACCATCTAGTTCTGTAACCTCCTCGACCATTCTAAATAATACAGGTTGAATATGTCTTATCTCTTATTCAAGATGCTTGGGATCAGAAGTGTTTCAGATTTTTTAAATTTTGGAATATTTTCATATATATAAACAGCCAAGGACACCAGGCAGAGCTGCCGAGAAGTATGCCCTGTGATATTAAAAGATGGGGCTTGGAAAGATCTGGAATCCTGAGCTGAAATATAAATTGGTTGGGAAAGCTGGAGGACATGGCATTAAGATGACAGTTAATGGCACAGGTTCTAGTTTCAGCCAGCTGGGCTTTAAATCCTAGTCTTGCTACTTGCCAGGATTTCTTAACCTCTAGAAGCTTTCATTTACTGACCTGTTAAATGGAGATATAAAAGTAGCTGTGTTAAGAGTATTCTTTGAGGAGTAAATACAATATGGCATTTAGCACAGTGCCCAGTTGTTAAAGCTGCTGCTGACTTAGGGATAGTGATCCATGAGCCATGATGTAGAAAATGGCTACAGCAAATAAAAAATGGCTTATCTATAGCTGAGTTTTCAAAAATTGCCTAGGACAGTTATGGCAAACATGTTAGAGTTTTCAGTGATAATAAACAGCTCGCTGCAGCACACCTGCCATAGGCTTGCAACCATTGGCCTAGGGTAAATGTTGGCAAAGCTTTTCTGTAAGGGGGCTAGATAGTAAATATTTTAGGGTTTATGGGCCAACTGGTCTGTGTAGCATCTACTGCGCTCTGCTGATGGAGCACAAAAGTAGCCATAGACCATAGGTAAACAAATGAGCTTGGCTGCCACCAGTACATCATTATTTACAAATAGAGGAGTGGACAGGGTTTAGCCTTTGGGTTGCAGTTTGCCAATCCATAACCTAGGGTTTTAACTCTGTCCATTCTGGCTCTTACAGGAGAGAGAAGATGGTCACTTTGGGGCTGGATAATAATAGCCTAGGTGATCTTTAGTGCCAAGTATTGCAGAGAAGCTGAGGAGAAGAAACATGATGAAGAAAAGGTTATACAATCTGCCAGTCAGGAGTGTTATCAGTGACCTTGAAAAATCATCTCAGAGAAATATTAAGAGCTAGTGTTCAAGGAAAGGCAGCCAGTGTTGAAGTTCTGGTCGTGATTGGAAAGGGAAGGGGGCGCAAAACTTGAAATGGTAACAAGGGCAAGGGATAGCATTTTATATTTGGGGGCCAGGGGAAGCCTGGTTACCAGAGAAGAAAGAGCCAATTGGGAGAAGAAGGAGAGGAGGGAGAGGCAGAAGGGAAGACAGGAGTGAGGAGTAGCAGTATTGGGTGAAATCAGTTAGGCATACACGAGACAACCAGAGATGAGCCAAACTGTAGAGCAGCATGTTAATCTTCTGAATCCAGGCGGTAAGTGCAGTAAGAGAAGAGAAGGCTAGGGCTGTATTGTCTGAAAGCAGGTGTCAAGCAGTGCGCTAGATTTGTCTAGGTTATTCCAACATGTAAATATCCTGTGCTATCACTTTTACGCCTACCAAAGCACACAGGTGATGTGCCCTGTCTCCTGCTGGAATGTAGGCGTAGCGTCCTCAAATTTTTAATGTATATCTCATCAGTAGATGGTCAGTGAATATTTTTTCCCTTAATAGAAGCAGTGTATCTGAATGCAGGAGCAGTCTGGAAATTCAGGAGCTATGAATTTTATAATATCCTTACTGTTTCCCAAAAATCACAATTCTGGGCCATTTAATGTCCCCATGCCAGAATTTTTTCATCTCAATGACAGAAATGACAAGAAGGCCAGAATCTAAAATGCTAAGACTATCTTAACCCTACTAGTCTGCTATATACCTCCACTGTTTATTCCTTCTTAATTTTCTGTGGTGAACATTCTGCATATAATACCATTTGTTTCTTCTCACTAAGAGAAATTCAGAATGTTCATGTTCTAGGTTCAAGAGGCTTCAATATGTATAAAGTTTCTAGCTTTCCATTACAGTTTGTGGTTTTTTTTCAGTTATTATGTAATTTTGTTAGTACATGTTTGTAATGTATAATGATTACATTCATCGTGGGGAATTTGAACATGTATATGATATACCTGAATATTCTCTCTCTCTCTCTCTCTCTCTCTCTCTCTCTCTCTCTCATATTCTGGTACCAGGGATCGAACTCAGGGCCTCACACTTGCTAGGCAGGCACTGTGCCACTGAGCTACATCCTCAGCCCTCCTTAATTCTTTTTTGACCCCTTCCCCACCCATCTCTCCCCACTCCCTCCAACTCTTGATACCCTTCTTATTTGAAAAAGTACTATTTCCATTTTTCTTCGGTTCTCTTTTTGTGAAATCCTTTTTCTCTTCCTTCCTTCCCTGCTCCATCTCTTGTCCCCCTTCCCATTCGAAAAAGATCTTCCTACTTCTGATTATCTATCCATTTGTTCTTTTATACCACAATCCCCTTAGCCTAGAATACCTTCCTGCCATGATGTACAGCTCCTTGTCCATGAAGCAGACCTCTGCTGTCCAGGCTTAGTCTTTCTCCCGTAATCTTCATCAGCTCTCCTCCTGAGCTATCTAAAATAAATGTCATAACTGGGCCTGGTGGTGCCGCTTGTAATCCCAGCACTCAGGAGGCTGAGGCAAGAGGATCGCTGTGAGTTCGAGGCCAGCCTGGGCTACATAGTGAGTTTAAGGCCAGCCTGAACTACATAGTGAGGCTCTGCCTTAAAAAAAATACAACCCCAAAATAAAATAAAGTAAAATAAAATAAACAGCATAGAATTCCTCAGTGTGGGCGATTCATGGTTTCTCAACTTTGTATATACAAGGAAAACAAAATATCAGATAAGCTTTACTGTCTTTGTGGATCAGTATTCATAACTCAAAGTCAAAGCAATATCTTTGCCACATAAATTCAGTTTAAAAACAAATCTTCTCACCCAAAGTAATTGTTTTTGACATGAGGTCTTGCCATGTAGTTGAGGTTGGCCTTGATCTCACTATGTAGCCCAGGCTGGCCTCAAACTCACAGCAGTCCTCCTGCCTCAGCCTCCCAAGTGCTGGGATCATAGGCGTGTGTCACCACACCTGGCCCCACCCAGTCATTTTGTTTTTCTCTTAAGTCTCTCCTGTATGCAAAATTTTTAGACATCAGTGTTTTATAGAGAGACAATAAGTAAAAACCAAACAAAAAGACAATCAGAGAGAAGTGGCAGGTGGAATGGAAACGTCTGTGTTTTGTCCTTTTTCAAAAATTCCTTTTCCCTCATTTTTGCTGACAAAGATTATTCCGAGTATTGTGAAGAACAGTTTCACAAATGGAATTTAACTTTGGCCTTGCCTTCCCTCCAAATCAGGTTCCTTAGCTGGTCTGATAGACATCTCTGCGCACTGGATGACAGACTTAAAAGAAGGTATATGCACAGAGGGATTCTGGTTTAACCATGAACACTGCTGCTGGAACTCTCAGCAGGTCACCTTTGAAGACAGAGACAAGTGCCCGGAGTGGAATAGTTGGTCCCAGCTCATCATCAGCATGGATGAGGTAACATGTAATGGTGATGTGTGAACCACTACATTCTATTCTTACTATTTATTTCACGGCTTATACAATACTCGTGACAATTACAGAGTCTTCCCCTTTTTTCTTTTCACAAAAAGGGGAACCTATGCCAGCTGCCTTTTTCTGTGGTTTGTGGAGTCCTATTTCCTTTCCTTCTGATGTGTGGACTCCTTTGTTGCTTATCTTTAAAATTTCAGTTTTAAGTAAGCCTGGTGTTTCTTCTTAGCTGTCAGTAGTGTTACTGGACTTATCTTTCCTTAATAATTTCAATAGGAATGTCAGAGGCAGCCAACAGGGGAGCTGTAATCGCTAACCAAAGATGGAGCAGGTTAAAGTGTTTATCATATAGATATCAACACTGATTTGTTCCTGAGCATTGCATTAGAATATTTTTAAATTATCATAAATTCCATATCAACATAACAAAGTCAGGAATGAAATTGCCCACACTCTCATTGTGCGCTTAAATCATATTTTCATTGTCATATACCATGTTTGTTGATGTGAAAGGTAAATGTTTTTCAGTTCTTTTCCTTCCTCTCACTGCTTTATAATACATCAGAACTCTCCCACTGAAAATACAAGTACACAAAACAAAAAACTCTCTATATATATATATGTTTTTTGAGACAGGGGCTCACTGTGTAGCTCACACTGGCCTTGAACTCACAATGATCTTCCTGCCTCAGCCTTCTGAATGCTGGGATTATAGGTGTGTGGCCCCACACCCACTGGGGCTCCATTTTTTAAAGCTGATCACATAGAAGTAACAACTAGAAAAGTGGTCATTAGAGGATGGGAAGTGTAGTGGAAATATATGTTTTTTGAGACAGGGGCTCACTGTGTAGCTCACACTGGCCTTGAACTCACAATGATCTTCCTGCCTCAGCCTTCTGAATGCTGGGATTATAGGTGTGTGGCCCCACACCCACTGGGGCTCCATTTTTTAAAGCTGATCACATAGAAGTAACAACTAGAAAAGTGGTCATTAGAGGATGGGAAGTGTAGTGGAAAAGAGGAAAGAAAGAGATTGGGCAACAGGCATCAAATATAGTTAGGAGAAGTAAGTTCCTGTGTTCTATATTTATAAAAAACTGGAAGAGATGCCTTTGAAGGTTCCAAACAAAAAGACATGATAATTATTGAAGGAGATAGAAGTGCTAATTACCCTGATTTGAGATCACTACACACAGTGTATGCATAAAATTACCACGCTGTATCCCATAAATACATGTAATTATTATGTGCCAATTAAGAATAAATTAAACATTTTCATTACCCACCTTAGTTCCCAAACAACTTGGGGTGGCATGTACACACACACACAAAATCAGTCAAGGGAAAAGGAGGCTAGGAAAATAATAAAGTCAGTAATGCAGTTTCTGCATACACATGGCTATACATATACGTATTAGCTCAGGGAAGGGGTTCAACCAAGAGGTACACACTGTATGGTGTGTGTTTGTGAGAGTTTAGGTCTGTGCTTCTCAATCTAGGGTATGTTCACTGAGCGTTCTGGTTCTCCTTCTTTAGGTCAGAGAATTGTTTTAATAGTATTTCATATTGTTTTCAAAAATGAAAAGTTAAGCTGGTCATAGTGGTACATACCTGTAATTCCAGCAATTCAGAGGCTGAGGCAGGAGGATCGCTTTGAGTTAGAGACCAGCCTGGGCTACATAGTTCAAGTTCAGCCTCAACTACATAGTGAGACCCTGTCTCCAAAAACAAAAAACAAAAAAAACAGAAGTTATTTATTTATTTATTTTTGTTGATAATGGGAATTAAACACAGGACCCTTGTACTGTGCTACATTTCCAGCCTATGCTCACTTTTAATTTTGAGACAGTCTCACTAAATCGTTAAATTGCTCAGGCTGGGCTTGAAATCGTGATACTCCTACCTCAGCTTCCCAGAATGCTGGAACTATAGGCATCAAAAGTCTATTGAGTTTTATATTCCATATAAGTTTTTTTGGAGACAGGGTCTCACTGTGTAGTTCAGGCTGGGCTTGAACTCTTTATGTAGCCCAGGCTAGCTTTAAGTCCACAGAGATCCTCGTGCCTCAGCCTCCCAAGTGTTGGGATTATAGGAGTGAGACAACCATGACTGGCTATTGCCTTCCATGAAATTTGAATGAGTTTCAACTGCTAATGTGTTTATCGGTAAGCATAACCACCTAGTATTCAAAATTGCTTTTTAAGAAATGAAGTGTGACTTTTTACCAGCACTTTATTGTTGATTTTTTTCTTAGTGGTCAGAACTAGATTTTTTTGTGGCACACTTCATTATTGTAGGGACATGGTCTCAAAAATATATTCTCTCCATTTTAAAAATGGATAAAGGGGTCAAGGGTATTATTGCTCAGTGGTAGAGTACTTGCCTACTATTCATGAGACCCTGGGTTCTATTCTCAGTCCCCCTCAAAAAAAGGTTATTGCCATTTTACTCCTTGTACTGTCTAGCATCGTTAGGGCCTGAAAACCTTCTACTCATAACACTTGTTGCTGCATCTGTGGTAGCAAAATTCTATCAAAGATATAATCATTATATGCACAATGTTTTTAAAAAGTTGATTAAATGGAAGGTAGGATGGTGGTTACCAGGGACAGGGAGGGAAAATGCAGAAAAATAAGCCAAAGGTATAAATCTGCAGATGGGTAGGATGAAATAAATCTAAAGGTCTAATATGTCACACAAAGACTGTGGTTAATATTGTATACCGAAAATTTGCTAAGAGAATAGACTTTAGGTTCTTACCACACATGGAAAAAAGGGTAACCGTGGAAGGTGAGAGATACGTAAATCTGCGGTAATCATTTTGTTATGTAGATATGTATGGAAACAGGTCTGGAAGTGTAGCTCAGTGGTAAAGTATGTGTGCTTTAGCCTGCGTGAGGCCCTGGGTTCCATCCCCAGCACCAAAACCAAAACCAAAGATATTCAGGGATTTTAGTCACTGTAACCTCCTGTGAGAATTGGATATCAAGGCGAGTAGCCGGAAGTGAATGGAATAGAACTGATTTTTTGTTTTTTATGAATAGAACTTTGGATCTGGTTTTTAGTTTCATTGTGCAGACAAGGTCCAGCCATTATGGGGGGAAGGTACTGTTAAACCTCTTGGTAAAATTGACACAGAATCTTATATATATTTGACTACAAAACCTATCAAAACCCTCACATCCAAATGAATTTTGCTTCAGTTGGCTTTTCCTCCATGTCCATTATTAGAATCTGCGGTACATTGCCTTTGAGTGTAGCAGAGCATTTCATTTTCAGCAATGAGTGACCTCACAAGTGTTTCAGTAGTGGTTTTACTGAACAATCAGGAAAGAAACATTTGAGTAATTTAATGTTGATCTTTGTCTTTCTGACCTCCTCTCCTGGAAAAATCATTACTCAAAGGAACTGAATGCCTCAGGGAGCCAATGTAGGGTAAAACAAGCGTCTCTGTTTCTTTCCTTGTTCCAGGGAGCCTTTGCCTACATAGTCAACTATTTCATGTATGTCCTGTGGGCTCTTCTGTTTGCCTTCCTTGCCGTATCTCTTGTCAAAGTGTTTGCACCTTATGCCTGTGGCTCTGGAATCCCTGAGGTAAGTCTGTTAAAATGGTTTTCAAATGTTCATGATATGAATCTCTTTGGGTTAAAATATTTTAATGTATATTCCAGCATATACCACAATGCTTTTTGTAATCCTAGGTATTGAACCCAGGTCTTTGCATTGAGCTACATCCCCAACCCTTTTTAAAATTTTATTGTGAGACAGGATGTCTCTAAGTTGCCCAGGCTGGGCTTGAACTCGCTATCCTCCTGCCTCAGGCTCTCAAGTCACTGAGATTACAGGGTTACACCAGTATGCCTGGCAGTTTTATAGATATTAAACAGAGTCAGTTAAGTTGGGTGTCAGTTGCCTATAATCCCGGCTACTTGGAAGGCTGAGGCAGAAGAATCACTTGAGCTCACAAGTTCAAGACCGACCTGAGCAACATAGTGAAACCTTGTGTTAAAACAAAAATAAAGCCAAAAACCCAAAAAACTTAAACAGGATTTAAGGTCCTCAGGCCTTATAAGATTTCTCTAGGTTTTCCTTCAAGTTTCTTCTCAACCTGGGTTACCTGATTTAGTCGAAGGGGATGATGGTGACTAAAACGCTATTTCTAACTACTTTTGGTTTAGATTGCTTCAGTGACTGCAAGCACTGACACTTTAAGTTGCCCGGGTGACTTTGCCCCGTTCTGTTTCCTGACCCAGGAAGAGTCCCACATTTCTTGGGCAGTTAAGTAAGGCCATACCTAATATTTCAAGTTGTTTCAGGATACTGACCTTGCCCTCTCAGACCATGACAGTTGGGCCACCACTTTATAGAATAAGGAAGCACCTACCCTTGCCTGTGTGGCTGTCTCACCTACACACTGTCGTACTTAGGATATGCTCTTGCCCAGCTGTCACATGGCTGCCACCCCACCCAGAAAGGTACATGACAGCTTGAAGATAAATTCTGGCTTTCTTTGGCTTCTGGGCTCCCTCTCAAACTATATGTTACTTGTTTAAAGGTTCAGTGTCTAATGAGGTCCACATTTTTGCTTCTCAGCCTTGTTTGCTTCCATAGTCTGTATTTAATCTCTCTGTGTTTGACCTGCAGATAAAAACTATCTTGAGTGGTTTCATTATTAGAGGCTATTTGGGTAAGTGGACCCTGGTTATCAAAACCATCACCTTGGTGCTGGCAGTGTCATCTGGCTTGAGCCTGGGCAAAGAGGGTCCCCTAGTACACGTGGCTTGCTGCTGTGGGAACATCCTGTGCCACTGCTTCAACAAATACAGGAAGAATGAGGCCAAGCGCAGAGAGGTAATGGCAACAGGCCTTAATAGTCTTCTTTTGCATGAACGCATAAGCAGTACAATCTTAGGGGTGGGAATTTGGGGACTCTTAAAATTATGAAAGCAAAGACCCTTGGACAGTCCACTTGTAGGGATTTCTCTTACAGACTTTTGAATTCAAGCATGCGTGTGTGCACAGGTGTCAGGATAGTCAGTGCAGTGTTTGTTAACCTAAATTTGAAAATCTGAAGCTACTAGCATGTCCAACAAAAAAAATGTCCATCAGTAAGGGACTGACTAAGCAATAGTCCATTCACACTGTGGAATACTGTACGACAATTAAAGAGAATGAAATAGTCCTAGAGATACTGACATGGAATGCTGGTGATATTATGCTGCTAAATTTAAAAAAAAAGTTTGTGATTAACATGTATAGTATAATTCAGGTAATGTTGGTAAAAAGTGTATTATTTATGCACTTAAAAAGAATATGTCTGGAAAGTGGTCTTAATCCCAAACTGTTAAAAATACCAACTTCTGCTAAGACAGAATAAGGTAAGGAGAAGTAAGGAATTTAGCTTTGTATTTTATATAATTCTATACAAGTATTGTGGCTTCTATTATAAAAGAAGTTATAAAATAATAGGTTTTTAAAAGTTTATTCTTACGGAAGAATACATATAAATGAAGCCAGGCATGGTGGCGCACACCTGTAATCCCAGCACTCGGGAGGCTGAGGCAGGAGGATCGCTGTGAGTTCGAGACCAGCCTGGGCTACATAGTGAGTTCCAGGTCAGTCTCAACTACATAGTGAGACCCTGTCTCAAAAAAAACAAAACAAAACAAAACACAAAACAAAACAAATATAAATGAAGTGCATATTCTAGATGTCAGCTTCTTCATCTGTTTCTGCCTACTACTACACATGAGCTGGTTTCTCACTATATTAGTTCACAACCCCTGCCTCAGTTAGCTAAATGAGTCCCTCCACAGCATCTGTATAGTTTTTCTCAAATGTATGTGGTTGTTCAAGGTCCTGAGTTCAATCCTCAGTACAAAAAAAAGCCCAAAAATTGTGTAGTTGTTACTGTGTGTTACTTTGACAACACTCTCTAAGAATTTCTTAGTTGACCGGGGATTTAGCTCAGTGGTTCTGCCGCCTGCTTCACTAAGCACAAGGACCCAAGTTCGATCCCCAGTACAAAAAAAAAAAAAACAAAAAAAAAAAGGAATTTCTAACTCATTAGTTATTTTTATCCTGCTGTAATTAATGACAAGAAAATAATGGGTTTTGCTTTATTTTTCTTGAATAACAAGTCCCATATGGAATGGGTCAAGACCAGGATCGTGTCATTCAAAAGGATTTTTCACAAAATTGGAACCTAGTGATTTCTTCTGAAAACAAAAAAGTTTAACCACAAGGCCCAGGAGGAAACAAGAAATATGTGGAGATTTCAAATATAGAATATATTTTGATAAGTGGAGAAGTTCTGGCATAGTTAGACAGGAGGGAAAAGCTAGAAGGAGGGAGATAGAGACATGTAAGTAGATTGTTTAGCTACCTGTAGAGGAACACAAGCCTGTGTTAAATTGTGGAGGTTGTTCAATGGGGATAACGGACAGAGTGAGAAAATTGAATGAAACATTTTAGTCGGCGAGAGTGGAGTGTTGATTGTTGCTGGTTTTGCATGGGTAGATGTTAATTTGAAAATATAGGTTCTTTCCACGAAAGTGGCATTTTTGTTCAAATTGTTCCTTATGTAATGAGAGGAATTTGATTTGCCTGTTTCTCTGTACAGATGCCATATATTTCTCTGATTTGACACGTGAATATTTGAATCTTAAATTTACTCCCTATCGCATACTCGGACTTTTATTTTCTTCCTGTTGTTTGCACCATGGTGGTAACTCTTTTGTGCTCAAGTGGCCTTGCCAAAGTGGGCAGATGATTGAGAGCAAACAGATTTGAGACGAGTGTAGATGGATTCCACTGTATGGTATAAAACTGAAGCCCGTCAACTAACTCAATTCTTTCATCTCCCTTCTCATTCACTCTGGGCATCATAAAAAAAAAATCCCCTTTCTCAAGTTGCATGATGGCTGTCTTTACCTTTCTCATATGAAAGCCATTTTAGCTTTCCATTTTGAAGTCCTCACAGCTAGCATTGGAAATCTCACTCATCTCTCCCTTTCCCTTTCCTGGGCCATCCTACACTCCCAGGGAAATCTGCCTACTTATTTTGCCAAGAACCGTTTTATTCTTCAAAACTCTTAATTCTGTTTAACTTTCGCTTTAAAATATTTCCTTACTCTCCAGATCATTTGTCTCTCCACAGCAATGAGAATCCAAGGAAAGAACTTGAGCTCTTCAGTCGTTTTCTGTCACCAGAGTTGGTCCTGTACATTTTATATGCACGTACATCCCTGCACACTGAGGTGGCATCCTCTAAATATCACTTTCCTCCTCCTTCTCCTTCTTCCTTCTTCTTCTTTCTTGGGGCTTTCTTACCAAACCTAATCGTGTTTAGGTTTTTCTCATCCTATAATCATCTGGTTGTTTCTCTTCTGTTTCCACAGGTTACTGGGTATGCATTGGGCACATAGTACAGACAACTGTCAATACAGTTGTATGAGTAGTGCTGCCCCTGAATAGCATGAACCGATCATTACTTCAGTTTGGTGTCACTAGAATCTTCTTTAGCATCTCATTCCAAAACATTCCTGTACAAGTTATTCTTCAGGTACATACTAGAAGTACTTTGTTTAGGTAAGGAATAAATAGGTCTCCAAGCTCAAATTCATTTTCTGAAATGGGAGTATTGTGAACGGGGGCATCATTTAGTATAAAGCATGTGCCTAAATCAATCACAGAAGAGTACCCTCTTTCCCCTTTAAGCACGTGAACCATGTCTTTGTGTTCAACATCTGGCATATAGGGCTTGCTCTCCGAATAATTAGAGATTGAACTTCATTTTGAGGCTATGGAACATGTAAAGTTTTTCACAAAAATATTTGGTAACCACTGGTGTTCCTTTTAAAAATGCAGTTGAATTTGGGAAAGTGGTATTATTCTGTCACTAATTTTGAGTTTTGGATTGTAGGTCTTGTCGGCTGCAGCAGCTGCTGGTGTATCTGTAGCCTTTGGAGCACCTATCGGTGGAGTATTATTTAGCCTGGAAGAGGTAATGACTTCTGACTTTCAGCAGAGATTGTGTGTGCTTTAGTGCCAGCAATTTCAGTTAGTATCTATGTACCTTGCAGTCCCTGAGTGCACTGTCCAACTCAGTGCTTTACCATATGACCAGAAATCCCTGGGCAATTTTTATCCTCAACTCTGATGCAGCATTGCCAGTTTTCTGCCTGAAACAGTTTTTGCATAATGACTGAATTTGCTTTCTCGTCTTCTCTCTTATAGGTCAGCTACTATTTTCCCCTCAAAACCTTGTGGCGTTCATTCTTTGCTGCCCTAGTGGCAGCATTTACTCTGCGTTCCATCAATCCATTTGGGAACAGTCGCCTTGTTCTATTTTATGTGGAGTTTCACACTCCATGGCATCTCTTTGAGCTTGTGCCATTCATTCTGTTGGGCATATTTGGTGGTCTGTGGGGAGCTCTGTTTATCCGCACAAATATCGCGTGGTGTCGGAAGCGGAAGACCACCCAGTTGGGCAAGTATCCTGTCATAGAGGTACTCATCGTGACAGCCATCACTGCCATCCTGGCTTTCCCGAATGAATACACCCGAATGAGCACAAGTGAGCTCATTTCTGAGCTGTTCAATGACTGTGGCCTTTTGGACTCTTCCAAGCTTTGTGATTATGAAAACCGTTTCAACACAAGCAAGGGTGGCGACCTGCCTGACAGACCTGCGGGCGCAGGAGTCTACAGTGCCATGTGGCAGCTGGCTTTGACCCTCATATTGAAAATTGTCATTACGATATTCACTTTTGGCATGAAGGTGAGGAATTCTCTTGGTACTCAGTGACTTTATGTGTGGCTGTTGGTTTTAGAGGGCAAAGCCAAGGTAGTAGCTCATGTGGTATGGTGCTTTCAACTTCCCCAACATGATTCCCTGCCAAAACCTTTTACCCCTCACTTGTTCTTATAATTACCTAGACAGTTGCACTTCTGAGATCAAATGCAAACTAGAGTAATGAGATTTGAGGAAGAAATTTTTTTCTTTGGTGTGGAAAACATTTTGGCCCTCAAAAAGGATGGTGATGTGTTTATTCCAGCGCCTCTTGTATCAAAAACCAATACCCAATAGTAGTTTTAGTCCTTATTGAATGACTTTAGAGTTTATTAATTAAGCATACGTATAGGCTGAGCCTCCTGAAGTTGCTGATATTCAACCACTTTGACTGCAGTTTCATAACCCGATACATAGCTAAGAGTATGTTTTACAGTTGGAATCAGTGCTTACTTGTCAACAAGTGGGATCCATTTCACAGGTTAGTACTATACCGTTTAAACTATCAAAAGCAGACATCAGTGTGTTCTCTTCTGGTATGTAGAAGATAGATAAAAAAGTTGATCTCATAGAAGTAGAGTAGAATATTGGTTCCTAAAGGCTGAGAAGGGTACTAGGGAGGAAGATATAGAGAAGGATTGGTTTATGTATATAAAATCGGTTAGGAGGATTTTAAGTTCCACTTTTCTGTAGCATAAAAGGGTGACTATAGTTAATAATTTATTGCATGTATCAAATTAGAAGAGAGGATTTTGAATTTTTCCAGTTCAAAGAAGTGGTAAATGTTCCATGTGATAGAGACACTAATTAACCTGATTTAATCATTACACATCATATACATGTATTGGAATATCACACCATAAATATATATAGTTATTGTGTGTCCATTAAAGAAAACAGACCTAATGCTGGTATGCTTTACATCCTATACCTGTTACCATTTCTATGTTTCAGCAGAAACTAAAAAGGAAAAATTATTAAAGAATTACCCTCCTCCATTCTAGGTTTTGTTTGTTTCTTGTCTTTTCACAGTGCTACTAGGTTATTTCCCTTATTCCCTAGGGAAACTGAGATTCAAACCAAAGAATAAAAGACAGCAACTCAGTGTAGGCAGTGTGTACTCTCTGAGATGAGGTCATCCTTTCCTTCAACACAGGGATAGGATGGAGACTGAAAAGTCTTGTACTGCTTTCACCTCATAGCTTCATTACTGTATTTAAAGGACATTTGTAGACCATCAGAACAGCAAATTCAAATGCCTTCCATAATTAAATACAGTATTTCTGCAGTTTTGATTATCCTTATTGTCATTTCCCTCTCAGTACAGAATATTAAGAATATCCTAGAAGTCAAGAAAAAGAGCAGAGAGGTAAATGAAGCCTCCTTTTTTGGTTCAGCATGCAACTGGAGCCACTATCTCATTTTAAATTTTATTTGTTTGATCTTTATGCAGTTCCAAAATAGACTGAAACCTCATACGCCATTCTTGTTTGTGCCCAGTGGGTTAGGATTCAATATATGAGTAGGGTTATGCGCATTCCATTTAAATCCCAGCACCTGTGTTTATGATTTTTACGTAGGGTCAGGGACTTAACCTCTCTAAACCTTAGGTTCTTTTTCATTTGGGAATGATGATGCCTATTTCCTGGGGTAGTGAGAATCTATAAAATCTTATATGTAGAGTGTCCAGCATACATCATGATAGTCAATAAAGGGTAGCTACTGGTGATAAGAAATCAAAATTGGGGGAAATGTCTGCATATATAAGAAACTCTATCTATTTTCCTTTTTCTTTGGGAAAGGCCTAATTTCTGCCTCCAGTTCTGTGTTGGTCTGGAGAGTTCAGGCTCTTGCCTGATGGACCCCGAATCAGGGTAAGCTTCTTTGCAGTCATCCTTGCCTGCACGCCCCAGAGAGCCTCTATTCCCTGTAGTGTTACACAAATCTTTACAGCCAATTGCTAGCATAGTGCATAGTTAAACTGTCCATTGGCCTGTTTGCTTCGCAGAGGGTCAGTCTTCCAGCCCTTACCATTCTCCAAGCCATAGTATTATTTCTCACTAATCATCTGTGCTTTCTCTTTGCAGATCCCTTCTGGCCTCTTTATCCCTAGCATGGCTGTTGGTGCTATAGCAGGTCGACTTTTAGGCGTAGGAATGGAACAGCTGGCCTATTACCACCATGACTGGGCCATCTTCAATAGCTGGTGTAGTCAGGGAGCTGATTGTATCACTCCTGGACTTTATGCCATGGTTGGCGCTGCAGCCTGCTTAGGTGAGTAGTGTAGAAATTTACACAAGATAACAGCACAAGAGCAAAAAATTAGAATCAGCTAATTTTATACAGTAAGCAACTGGTTAAATCATTCCACCCATATAATACTATATTACGCAGTCTTTAAATGTGATGTTAATGTTTAACATCTTTAAATGTGATATTAAATTTGTGATAATATGTGAACATAAAGTGGGGGCAAAGCATGGCGAGGAATTAAACGTAATATGAACTTTCCTATATAAAAATGTTTTTGCATAGAAAAAACTGGAAAATGTGGCTCAAAATTTTTACTCTGCTGACTTATAGGTAGTGTAGTGAGTTGTGAATAATGACTCATCTTTTCTGAATTTTCTAAAGTAGGCACGCATTTCATAATTAGGGAAAAGAAGCAACAGACAAAACAAGAATCCAAAATCATCTTAAACTTCTGTAGACATTTTAAAAATAAAATCTCAATTGTAACCTTATTTTAATGCAATCTCTGTGGTCTGTACAGTTATAGATGAAACCCCATTCTAGTATTGGTTTTGATAAATAAGCTCTTTTTCTAGATAGGGCCTGTGACAGGCCCATCATTGCAACAAATCCTATGTTTTATCTGCCTTCAGTGATCTGTGTCTGGTTTTTCACAGGTGGAGTGACTCGGATGACTGTTTCTCTTGTTGTCATAATGTTTGAGCTGACTGGTGGCTTGGAATATATTGTTCCTCTGATGGCTGCAGCCATGACAAGCAAGTGGGTGGCAGATGCTCTTGGGCGGGAAGGCATTTATGATGCCCATATCCGTCTCAATGGATACCCCTTTCTTGAAGCCAAAGAAGAGTTTGCACATAAGACCCTGGCGATGGATGTGATGAAACCCCGGAGAAATGATCCTTTGCTGACTGTCCTTACTCAGGACAGCATGACGGTGGAAGATGTAGAGACCATAATCAGTGAAACTACTTACAGTGGTTTCCCAGTGGTAGTGTCCCGGGAATCTCAAAGGCTTGTAGGCTTTGTCCTTCGAAGAGATCTCATTATTTCAATTGGTAAGTACTCAGAAGGGAGATAATGAAATAAATATGCAAGAAATGGGGGGGCATAAGAGAGGAGAGGGAACTGGTTAAAGGCCAGAAGGGTAGAGCTAGCATTTCTATTTTCAACTTTTCCCCCTTATGTTCAAATAGAAAATGCTCGAAAGAAACAAGATGGAGTTGTGAGCACGTCCATCATTTACTTCACTGAGCATTCTCCTCCAGTGCCACCATACACTGCACCCACCCTGAAGCTTCGGAACATCCTCGATCTTAGCCCTTTCACTGTAACTGACCTGACACCCATGGAGATCGTAGTGGATATCTTCCGCAAGCTGGGACTACGGCAATGCTTGGTTACACACAATGGGTGAGGACTCTTGGGGGAAGGCAAATTGGACTGTTGGAGGGAAGGAAATGTGGAGACATAAAGAAGAACCCAATTTAAGTGAACATTAGTAGTTCTTTTAAGCTTTTTTGAAGCTCTAAGATAAAGATTCATGTGTTTTTTATCATAATAGAAAACGAAGACCATATTTGAGAAATATCAGCTGTTAGTTGTACATTATCAATCATAGTTCCTTCCTTACAAAGGAAACAGCCGTGTTGTTATGCACAGGCAGCCTGAAATTATAATGGTATCAGTGGGATATGTGTAGTACAGTAGAGTAGTCTTTCATTTTTAGGGAATAGTTTCTAAGACAACCATGGGATGCCTGAGAACCGTAGACAGTATCAGATCCTACATATGATATTTTTCTCTACATATACATCTATGATAAACTGTATCTACCAGGCACTGTAAGAGATTAACAGCAATAAATATAAAATAGGGCAGTTATAACAATATATAATAAAATTTATATGAATGTTCTTCCCCCCAATAGCTTAATGTACTGTACTATGTTTTGGGGCCATGGTTGCCCACGGGTCACTAAAACCATGGACGAGAGGAGACTTGTAATTTGCTCTCACAATTTCTTTTTTGTTATTATTGGAGGACAAGAAAATCAAGTTTCAGTGAGGACTGATGTACATGCATATCCCAAGTTTAAAAATAGAGCAGGAATATTTTGCTTTCGAATGCTCCCTACTTGTCCTGAGTATCTATCATCTCTCTCTTTGCCCCTTTTTTCCACCTTCAAATAAATTGTCTTCTCTTGGTTAAAAACAAATAACAGAATGAGGCTTTAAACACAGTCTCCTGGCATCCAAGCTTAAAGCTCTTTCCTTCCTGGGAAATTTCTTGTCCAGTAAAAGAAGCCCTGCTCATTTTATTGGAAAGGGAGGGAGGGTCAAGAAAGCAGTGGAGCTTTTCTGAGCATGCTGTGTTAAACTAGCAACTATGCAAGAATTTTTCCCTCCTCTTAAAACTTTGAAGTAGTATAACAGATGTCTTGCAGGATTTAAATCAGTAAGAGGATTTTTCCTAACTGGTTTGTTCAGCATTTACTGAATCCTTCCTGCATGTAAGAAGGTATTCAGCTGGACTCTAAGGAGATATAAAAATCAGTAAAAACTTTCTCTGCCCTCATAGAGTGTGTACTGTTATAGGTAAGGCAGGAACACACAAGTAGCTACAGGACAATAGCAAAGAGAACAAGTGCTACAGAGGAAGCCTGCATAGAATAACATGCTGTTGCTGGGAGTGGGGCAGAGTTATTTTTGGCTTGTAGGGTCAGGCAGGTTCTGGAAGAGGGGCATTTAAACTGGACTGCAGTTAGGTAGGTAAGGCTTACACATGTAGAGAAGAATATTTAAACCAGAGGAAATGGTAGGACCTGAGACCTAGAAGTAGAAGTATTTGTGTGCGTGTGTGTGTGTGTGTGTGTGTGTGTGTGTGTGTGTATTGTCTTATAATTCTGGAAACATAGATATGGTAGTAGTTCAAAACACCATTGGAAAATGGCAAGTGTCACATTGGGGAAAGTTGTTTAAACTATAGATTTATTGTTTTGTCATCTTGTGTCTTTTAGGCGATTGCTTGGAATCATTACCAAAAAGGATGTGTTAAAGCATATAGCACAGATGGCAAACCAAGATCCAGATTCCATTCTCTTCAACTAGAATTGGGGTTCTTCTGGATATAAAATGGGAAGGACATTGCAGACCGTGGATATATTTTATTAACTGGGTACCCAAAACACATTTCCCATATTTGGATGGTGAAGTCATATTAGTGTGTTATCTCTTTCCTACAAGTTAACCGGTTGCACTGCATAATCTGGAAATCAATCTCCTCTTTAGGAGAAAATACAGTTAGGCTTCAGATATATTGCATTAGGAAGATCTCATGAAAGAGTATAAATAAGATTGCTGTGGTTTATATTTTTTTAGTAATTTTTTTAATTTAAAAAACGATTGTTAGCCAGTATGCAATCACTGAAAACTATGCAAGAAGAATTTCAACCGTCCTGAATCATAGCCTGCAGGAAACTCATGAAATAAGTCACTTTTGGGGGATCTGTCATTGGTGGAAGATGAAGTGTAACCTAAAGGGGCTTTGCTTTTCAAACCATAGAAAAGAAAGCCAGAAGGAAAATAGCAATGGTATTTTTTAGACTGTGAAGATTCAATTCAAATATTATCCTTATTCCTGTTACAATATTTAGCATTATTCATTTGTTATATGTTTATGTGTATGTTAGTTTTAATTTCTGATTATAAGACAATGCTGCTTTGGTTAATCTCCTTGAGATGAATTTAGAGAGGTTGACTTTTATAGCTTGCTTGTTCCTGGTCCTCTTTTGAAGTATACAAAAATAAGTTATAGAGCTTTGTTCTTGTCTTCAAGTGCTCCAGATGGAATTTGTTAGCTAGTAGACAAGGACTTCACCATGAATTTATTAGTAGCAAGGGATGATTTCTTTCAGCTTCCTTGAACTTAATTACAAGTAAAGTTCTAAGCAAAATCAATGACTAGACATTTCACATTTTTGTGAGGTCCTAACTAATCCTCTTACTCAGATGCCACCTCCATGAATGATGGTGCTTTAGGCTTCTGGAATATGTAAGGATAGTAAAGGGAACCAAGTCTAGACCGCACACTGGTAAATCAGGGAAGATTCAGAGCTGCTGATGCACCCTCATGCATTCCTTTGTACGACCAGGACTAAAACAACAGCATCAAGTACATATAGCAGGCCGGTGGTGTTCCTGTGAGCATGAATTAGGCTTGGGATACTTTCAGATCTCTTCAAGGTGTTGGATCAGAATAGGCAACTGTGACTTGAATGCAGAGCCATTCAAGACCTGGGGATATGGATAAGGCCTGGTGACACCAAAGGTGCTTGTCTCCCCTTGAAAAGGTGCCTGTCTCAATTTTCTGCCACACTTACTACAGTTTAAAAAAAAATAAAATCACACAATATAGACACCTGGTGGAATTAAAGAGCCACCACATCATTCCAACCACTGTTTCATCTTCTGTACTTTTACTTATGTACAGTTTACTCTTCCTCCACTCTGTTCTCCTTCCTTCTTCATTTTGTGCTTCAGTACTGAATCTTCTCTTGGATTGAGCATTATGCCTGGTTAATAATTTCTAGTAACAGAAAATAACTTATGAGAGCCTAGTTAAATTGTAAAGCAAGGCTCAGCAATCTCATGGCACATGGACTAGAGGTGACACATGACCCCTTTCTTTGCCGTGTGGGTCAGTTGCTGTTTCCATGCCTCTGAGGCTGCCCCAGATGCCTATGGCAAGGAAACTCCATTGTCAGGGATGAGAATCCAACTCTGCTTATTGTAAAAATCTGTCCTAACACTTGCTCCATCCCAGAGTCAGCATTCACTTGGCACATTCTCCCATACTCCCCAAACACCACAGTGTACCTCATTTAAAAGATGTTGCTTCCCAAATTTAGCACTTTTTACCCCTAGGTCTTATCGTACCAAAATCTGAAATTCTTTTATTTCCCAGAGCTGAGTAGCCAATTTAAAAAAAATTATCTTTTAAATATCAAGGAGGTCACTGCAGTTTCTCCTTTTAAGTGTATCCCTTTAGCATTCTATTGAAAAAGAAGAAAATGCCCCAGGGTACATGGCGTCATAGTCATGGTTCACTAGCTTTCTGTCTTTTGTTCCTTCCATGCCACTGATTCTTTCCTATGAGATAAGACTGTCTGACTGACCAACCTATATGTTATGTAGAGATTAAAGTTCTTATTTGTACATTTCTGGTTCAACATCTATCATATTAACCATCCTTCCTCACTAAAGTTTGCAAACCAAGAAATGTTCCTATTACTGATACTTGAAAGCAAGGGAAGGTTTGGTCAGATTTCATAGTGCAGCAGTGACATTAAGGGTGTCTTATTTACCTTTGTTTTTAGCCTCTGTTCTTGATTTTAGACAGATGAGCCAGCGTTGAGGTGCTACTTCAGAGAATTAATGAACAAAATCAGATAATACTGTGCCAAGGTATACTTTCTAGATACTAAGCACCGGTTGGCCCTCCAGAGAATGATAACATCCCTTTGATACCTCATTCCTCATAAATCTCATTCATTAACCTCATCTTCTCAGGAATTCTTGTAGCTTGTGCACTAGAAGTAGATGTAGTGTATGGTGTGTACTATATGTTCAATCCTATGGTTTGACTCACAGGTTGGCTAGCTCAGCACTTGACACTCAGAGTTTCTTGTCTTGAGGAAGAAAGACAAGTTTCTTGTCTTGAAGGAAGATGTGTTTCCTGCTATTACCATTTCAGCAGTTAAACATACTTAACCAAAAAGCAAGGCCAAAATAGAGGGGTCTGTCAGCAGCCTCAACTGGCCACATGCCAGTAGCAAAAGAATAGATAACTTGTGATTTTTAAAATGAATGAATGGAGACTAGTCTATTTTGGAATAGAAGAATTACTTGAATAGAATAGAAAAAGAAAAAATATAGAAGAAAATAGAAGAATCAAAAATTACTTGACACAAGGGAAGGGTTTACAAAAGAACACCAATAGGTACTTCAACAGAGTTTGGATTTTTCCAAGGAAAAATATCTGGTCAGCATCCAACTGTGAAGTGAGTGAGAGTGTTAAGTCTAACTGCTACATTTTGTATCTTCAGATCTTCAATTTAAAGAATTTAAGAAAGCTGAAACAGTGAATTTATAATGAGAAAAAAGTGGAGGGAAGAAGCAGAGGACTGAAATACAAAATAATGGCTCTGTTAAAGATCATTTCTATTCTGATGTTTGGCTGGAAATGAATTGCAACACTCTCTTCTTCCTCTGACTCCAGATTCCTGGCTCAGCCCAGCTGTAGAGCAGAGAATATCTACAAAATCGGTATTTTCTGGTGGACTCCTTGAGATTGATAATGCTTTGAATTTCCCAGCTGGCAGAGTAAATGATTAATTTGCCGATTGAACTGCAAAACAATTCTGTTTTGGAACCAAAGGCTGAATCTAAGCCCTTGTAGGAAAAGTAGAGTCCTTTTTGTAAAATATACCCTCCAAATATGTGGACTGAACATAAGTGTCCTAAAGTTTTACTTTGTTTAACCACTTCTGGGATTTCCTGGATTCCCTTCGGGGAGGGGGTTGAAAGTAATGGCAGGAGAAAAGCCTGTGTAAGAAAATACACGAATAGTATAAAATGGTACAAGGAAAGGCATTCCACAACCCTTGCCATGTATTCTGGCACTGAGATGTATAGAAACTGCTTGATCATGTGCCTTGTGAGAGAAAGTCAAGTAATCCCCCAAGGCCAGTCTTTTGAAGCAAACCAGAGGCTCAAAGCCATGTTCAGCTCAAAGGCAGCCTGGTTTTATGGAGAGAGCTGACTCCAGATATTTGCACAGAAAGGAATGTGCTATCTAAATGGTAAGCTTTCTTTACATCTACATTTTTAACTTCCCTGTGATGTCCGTATATATTGAAAAGAAAAAGGTACAAGTTGCTCAAGTCAGAACTTAAGAGCTGAGTAAATTTGAAGCCCAGTCGGCACAATGGACCTGGGCGATTATTGAATTTTGTTCCGCTTCAGTTTCAGTTGTTTTCTCCAAGGAGAAAAGCTCTAAGGAAGAGTGGATGTTAGCAAATTTAAGTTACTCCCCCAGCATTTGCTGGCCACATTGTCATTTCTACACATCCGGATCCTGGCAAGGTTTTGAAAAGATTCAGGGGACAAAAGTGTTTTTTCCATGGTGTAGTCTATATAGTCTGATTTTGCCAAATCACCCAAGAAAGAAAAAGAAAGAAAGAAGTAAGGAAGGAGATGATTTGCTGAGTTTGCATGTCTTGGATGAGACTTCTCAAGCCACCCAGCCCAGTCTTGTAGTCATAAATTCTTACCTCTAAATTCCTACCAGGGGTCATTGGCCTCAGTGCGCACTCTTTGAATGAATATACCTTGCCTAAAGTTTGACTTTTACAGCAAATGATACAAAAATATGAGGGTTTTTGAAACACAATCTCTGCCTCTCCCTTTTAATCTCTTTATCCTCCTTTCCATCCATGTTTTGAATTCAAATTTCTCTCCAATTTTACAAATGCAGTGTTTTGAATGTGTACCTTGGGAAAGAGGGAGAGAATGCTTCTGAGAACAGAATGAAGGCTCCTCCTGAGTGAATGCGGCATTAACATTTTACTCTATGGTAGTAGTTAAAGCCAGAGATAGTATCCGGAGTATCTAGGGCTTTAACATTGTACGGTAGACCTATAAATATCCATTGCTAAACCTTATCATTATCTACTAATCCCAATCTGTTGGAATCCAGGGGCAGTCTAGGATTTGGTGAGGGAAAGGCCATCTAGCAAAATGAGGAAGAAGGCAAGGCCTGTAATGACTTCATGAGTGTGGGAATGTTCAGCCTCGCTATCATACTGAGGGTACCTCAGAATATATGATCTTTCCAGAGTGCTCCTTTGCCCTTCCCCACTTCACTTTGTCCCCCT